TCCAACGCTGATCGGCCGATCAGCGTTGGAAATTGATACAAAAATACCACTTTTCTTGAAAATGACAGTATACCAGGTGCCATAATTTTACAGGATGCTTTAGACTGTCATTTACCAACATCCTATTAAGGTATTTCGCAAAAACTTGGTAGTTTTATTTTTCGATGTTTGCAAATGTTGTATATTCCCTTTAAAAGAATAGACTGTGTGTACACATACAGTGTGTACACATTGTACATGTTCAAACCTCTAGTTCATAGTACAATTCAAGCCATATTGAACAAAACGGCGCTGGGAGCTACATGTATTTCAGAGAATCTAGAAATAGCATCAACAACAGTGAAAGAGTTGACGGACTGTTCCAATTCCCAAATTCTAAATACATAATGTACCATTCTATTATATTTTTCTTGCAGGCTGGCGGCCTGTTTTGTCCTAGTACAATTGCAGTATATGCAGGAATGGTTTTGATTTAGCATTTTGTCCTTTTTCCAAAACTATATTTTCTACATGTACATTTTAGTTGCTATTTTTTTTGCAGGCTTGTGGCCTGTTTTTTGTTTTTCCGTGCCACTATCCTTCAATCATGTCAATTGCACTATATATATGCAGGCATGGCTCCTGGTTCGTACATTATCGATACTAAATGTGGGGCGGGAACCTATGGGGGGGCCTACATTTGTCAATTAATTGATAAGCGCATTTTGGACATTTTTTTTTGGACCATGGTTTATGACAATTATATGTAAACCATAGAAAGTGCTGCAAAAATTCTTTTTATGGTTAACATACTTGTAAAGTAATGTTTTGTGCACTTGTAATACTGTTTGTAAACCATTAGGGCCTGTAATGAACTTGCAAAAAAAATCATGGTTTACAAATATATGATGAATTGTATATTTTTGTAAACCACCAAGTTGTTACGAAATTTATACCTTACTAGGATGTTGGTAAATGACAGTCTAAAGCATCCTGTAAAATTAGGGCACCTGGTGTGAAGTCATTTTCAAGAAAAATTGTACTTTTGTATACATTTCCAACGATGGTCGTCCGACCACCTTTAGAAAAACCTAACTATTTTTCAACTACTGCTCCAAATTTACCATTTTTTTTTTTTTTCAGTCCAACTTTTGTTTGCTATTGGTCAATACATGTTCATGAACGGGTGCAGGCCAGCTAGACTGGTTCCCTTACCTTACAATTTTCCAGCATTTTTGATCCATTTCATCTTTAGTAGAGTCAGGGAACCAGACTGCTTGAAATTTTTGTTTTTCTTGGTTATTCCAGCATTTTCGAACACAAAACTTCAAACATAGTGTAACAACTAACCCCCCAAATAGTTCATTTCTGAAAATTACAGCAAAAGCCAATGATGTACATTCCCTTTAAAACAAAAATGACGTGTGGGCACGTTCATACTTTTTCTTTTCAAATATTAAAACTGGCAAATGTGCGCCCTCATGCTTACTATACACCGATAGCCGCCGAACCGGCCGCGCGCCACCTGACAGCTAACATATTGACCTGAAGGTCAATATTACCGGCATGCATTGCAGCTAGCATGACCCTGCAGGAAAATGATTACACTCAAGCATATGTACAAACAGAGCCTCAAATTTCCTCTGAAAATTACATGAAAAGTAGACGCCTGAGAAAGAAGTGGTACTGATAATTTCCCCTTGCTAGTACTTGTTACATGTAGGTAAGTGTGCTTTTCCAAAGCACAAATAAACTTGCAGAACAGTCGGTAGGCCTTTGTGAAAATAGAGGGGGGGGGGATTTCTGACACGTCAGACGGTCAGTTGCTGTGGTGCTAGTGGGGCCCTTTCCGCTCTGTTCACAAGTACCTCCTCACCGGCAAAGAAAGTACAGTTGGGGGTGACCAAACGACGCCATCTTGCCTGACTGCATTATTTTGTCGCGAAGCGCGGCCACTGTGCATACATAGTACAAATCTCCTGGTGTACATGCGTCACACACAAGGAAATCCCACTCCGTAGCCGCGTAGCCAGCAACAGGTGTGGTTGGTTTGGACTTAGAATTTTTTCAGCAACCCCCATTCCTTCTCAAGGGGACCCCCACTCAGTATCTGCGTAGCTAACAATGGAAGAATTGTTTCCTTTCCAGTGATTCCAACCGCGTAGCCAGAGATTTTAGGGGTGTATTTCCGAGTGGCGGGGTATTCTACAATTACTCCGAAAACTTAGCTGGTCAGAGCTTTATTTGATTGCTTAAAGGGAAAATACAACATTTGCAAACATCAAAAAATAAAACTACCAAATAATTTTGAAATACCTTGCTGGACTGTTAGTGAATGACAGTGTAAAGCATCCTGTTAAATCGTGGCACCTGGTATACTGTCATTTTCAAGAAAAGTGGTATTTTTGTATCAATTTCCAACGCTGATCGGCCGACCAGCGTTGGAAAAAAAACTGGCTTTTTTCAAATACTAGCCCCAGTTGACCATCGCACTTGTTTGCAATCGATTACACACCTATGAACGGGTACAAGCCAGCTGGACTGGTTCCCTGACCTTACAATTCCCCAATGTATGTAAACTGCTCTGTTTCTTCTTAAATGGAGTCAGGGAACCAGACTACAGGAAAATGCTTGTTTTTCTTGGTTTTTATAGCATTTTCGAACCCCAAACCTCAAAAAAGTCAGTGTAACTATATTTGCTATATATATTTCCAACCCCCCGAATTCCATCCATTTCTGAAAATTACAGCAAAAGCAAATGATGTATATTCCCTTTAAGCTAAGGTTGCAATTTCATTTTGGAACAATTAAAACACCTTAAAAGAAAACGAAAAAGGTGTCCTAAACGAACAGAAAACGTCATTCTACGGAGTCTCCATTGTGTCCTACATGTACTTCTGAAAACAATGTTGATATCGATGTTTGTTGAATACAGGATAAGTTTATGTGCACAACTTTGGTCTCTAGTTTGATAAACTAACTTTTGTTTGCCATCAGACATTGTTACTAAATACACGTTTGTTTAAATTTTAAATAAATGAATTTCTTTCGATTTTGGTAAAAACAACTGCATGCAAAATATTTAAAATCATAATTGAAAATTTTTGGTAAATAAATTAAATCCACAAATCTTATAATATATTTTTATCGAAAATCTACGAACCTTAGTTAAATCCTATGCATGGAAAGAGTTCTGAGAATTTTTATTTTGCTGAAAATCAACCATGCGCCAATTACGTAACATTTTACAAATTTATACTGTTTCTCCAAAAATAGAAATATTTGCAATATAACTTTAGTATGCCGTGGCTATAATTTTAAGTACATGTACATGGACAAATATATTTGAAATGACCCTTCCATCAAAAACATAACAAAATCACCCTTCTGTAACAATGTTCTCCGGCATTTATTGCTCATTCTAATGGCAGTGCATATTTAGCCGGAGACGGCAAAACTTTCGTAAACGTTAGCTTGCTTGATATGCACTGAACATGCGCAGTTACTGGGTTTTTTACTTAGACATTTTCCAGTGACATATTTTAGTCTGGCTCCATGCCAACATTATCGTTGTAACTTCGTATTCACAAGATGGGAATCAGACCATGTTAAAATAATAAAAAGAAGAATATTCTTATTTTTTGGGATGGGGAAAAAAAACTTTAAAATTTTGCCAGCGGGGATCGAACCCGGATCTTTCCGCTCATGAGATCCGTTGCTTATCCACTAGGCCACAGGTGCTACACCACCATTGGTGGTAATTTAATATAATTCAGCCCTATCTTAGAGAGTACAGCACCCTCTGTTGATATTTGATAAGGATTGCCGCCGGCAATATCCACTATCCATATTAATACACCTGCCATCAATCAATCAATTATACAAGCGCGCGCGCCTGCATGCGGTCGATCACACCGTGGCCGGTCGCGCCGCCTCGACACATGGTTGCATAATACACATCATTTCAATAAAAACAAAAAATAAATAGGCCTATTGGCCTACTTTTTGGGTACTTTAAACATTACGATTAGGTCTTATTCGGACAGAAATATATTTTAAGGCATATTCATTCCAACAAACAACTCGGTACCGAAATCTGCATCTCGGCGAAACAGATCGTAAAATACTAACGCGATAAGGTGCACATCGTTTTTCGTGCTCCTTAATTCTGATTACGCTCTCTGTTGTTTAGTGAAAGTCGACCGAAGTTGTGTTTCACGTTTCAGGGTTGGACGGCGACACTGAGTGGAAATTCGTAGCGATGTTTTTATTATTAGTTTCGTAATTGCAGATAACCCCCCCCCCCCCCTCCGCACTCGGAAATACACCCCTAATATCTCTGGCTACGCGGTTGGAATCACTGGAAAAGAAACAATTCAAGTCCATCGCCAGCTACGCGGATACTGAGTGGGGGTCCCCTTGAGAACGAAGCAACACAACATGAATGGGAGTTGCTGAAATTTTTTTTAAGTCCAAACCAACTACCCTGTTGGCGGCTACGCGGATACGGAGTGGGAGTGCAATGGAGCATGACGCATAGTACAAGTAGCGCTGAGGTTTATTGAGGGCAATCAACCGAGACTCCGTAGCCGGCTACGAGGTACGTGCATAGATCGAGTGGCGGGGTATTCTGCAATTGTGCCCTTTTAAATTCTGGTCCATTCAATAATGTAAAGTTTTTGTATCTAGTCACTAAGTCAGTACGGTAATAATTTACACTCTCTTTGATTTCTTTCAAATTGTTCTCGAAAAAGCTTTCGATTTCACCATAACTGCATCGAGAAGAAAGCGATGTGACGATGGATCATCTACGGTGATTTGACGTCGGTTTGTGTTGTGTGGAAAAAGATACGAGCCGGGCAGCGTGAATTTGGGGCACCGATACACAAACACAATCGCCGAGCGTACACACGACCTCTCGGCGCCTGGGGCCTGTTTAAATGTAACACTAACAAAACCCCATCGAATCTAGTACAGTAGTATTGGTTTAATCATGTTAAACATGGAGATCTATCACCTACTTAACGTGTGAAGTGGAGAATTCAGACCTTCACCACGAAGTCGAAGAAACGTGTTCTTGACCCACCGGCCACACAAAATCGGTTCTGGATCAGATGATGATGACACGGCGAGCATGGCGGTGGTACATAATTGTACATTGTGCAACGTACATGTATTGAGGTCAAAAGCAAAGAGCCTGCTCATTATCAGTCTTGGGGGCGCTATTCATCCACGTATTCAACTCTCAAGATTGGCCGCCGCGCCCGCGCCTTGCAGCTGCCTCATAACCTGATAACTTGAACAGCTCAAAACTAGATTCGATCAACGCGCAAACCCCCGCCAAGGCGTCAATCGGTGGGGGAAAGGGGGGACAAGTCCCCCCCACCACTTTTTAAAGAAGGCGGAAATCATATTGTTTGTCTGCTCCCCTTTTTCAAAAGTGTGGGAAGGGGGGAACATATATACCTTGATCAGAATTAATGCAATTGCAAGCCGTAACCCCCACCGCTTTTTTTGTCCCCGAATACAAATTGTAGCCTTTGATTTTATAGCTCAGAATAGCTGATTCAATGACTCCAAACTCGCAAATCAGGGTTGTTTAAATGATGAATTGTTTAAATCATTTGCTTAAAAATAAATTGGTTGAAGTGGTCAGAAATTGCCTCAGGTCGCACAGCGTCTGGAATATAAAAAAAATCGGGGTTACTGCTTGCATTAGTTCTGATCAAGGTATGTCCCCCTCCCACACTTTTGAAAAGCGATTGACGCCCTTGCAACCAACCAACAAACCAACAAAAACGCCGATGGAAACCTAGCCTCCTTGACGGAGGTAAACTAATGCAGTTTGAGAAAACTATGTTTGAAGTTGGCCTTCTTGTGATTTATGACTTGCCTGGAAACTAAACGAATGTATGAATATGAAATGTTTTGTTGTAAATTTTCTTCTTTGATTTTGAGCAAAATGGATTTCATTTCATTTCATTTGTTTATTGAAAAAAAGTAAGACTGCTGCAGACTGCTTACTGACTGGATGGACCTGAAATATATAAATCTAAAAATTAATGTGGCCTGACGTTGCGAACTTAGCAAGTTCTTCTTCAGAGGCTAAAACCGAAATGACAGGGGTACATACATTAACAGACCGCCTGGTCTTTCTGTTTCTAATTTTACAGAGGAAATGGATGAAATACTTGAAAAAATAACCTTAGAAAACAAGATCTGTTATATTTTAGGAGATTTCAATATCAATTTGCTCAATTGTGATTCTCACAACCCAACGCGCGAGTTTTTAGATACTCTATATTCCCACTCCTTTCGCCCTACAATAGACAAACCAACAAGAATAACGCGTAACACAGCTACCCTTATTGATAACATTTTCACTAACAGCGTAGATAATCATCAGGCAGCAATCATCACCTCTGAACTGAGCGACCACCTGCCTATTGTCTTGTTTGGTTCGAGTCTCACAAAAGTCAACAAATCTAAAACGTATTATTGGAAAAGAGACACTAGTGATTACAATATCTCATCATTGAAAAATAAGCTTCATGCAGTTCAGTGGAATGAAATTGTTACAGCTGAAAATGTGAATGATTCTTATTTGCAGTTAATTACCAAATTAAATGAGGAAATAGATATATATGTTCCTTATAAGAGATTTAAAACTAAGAAGACAATGAACAACCCCTGGATAACCAAGGGATTACTGAAATCAATTAGGCGAAAAAACAAACTTTATAAGTGTTATTTACATAACCCAAACGAAAGCAATAAAAAGAAATATAATAACTTTAGGAACAGGTTAACAAAACTCATACGGATAGCAAAGAAAAACTACTACTCTGCTTCATTCGAAAAGGTAAAATGTAATATTCAAAATACCTGGAAAATTATTAACAATGTATTAAACAAAAACAAAAAGAAGTCGTTGGGTCCCGATTCATTTCTTATAAATAATACTGTACTAGATGATCCAGAACAAATTGCTGAACACTTTAACGAATTCTTTACAAACATTGGTCCTAATTTAGCATCCAAGATTCCTAATTCCCAATTAAACCCTACTAATTTTATTGAAGGTGATTTCCCAAATTCTTTTTTTATGACTCCAATAGCAAACGATGAACTTTTGAAGTGTATCAACGGGTTGCCCGCTAAAAAAAGTCCAGGTCACGATAACTTAGACACTTACCTCATTCAACAAATTTGCGGTTTTATTGCTGAGCCCTTGTTGAAAGTTTTTGATTTATCTTTATCGACTGGAATTGTACCAAATGAATTAAAAATTGCAAAAGTAATGCCTGTATTCAAAAACGGTGACCCTCAATTAATTTGCAACTACCGCCCTATTTCAATATTACCATGTCTCTCCAAGGTACTTGAGAGACTAGTTGCAAATCGCCTAGAAATCTTTATAACTAAGTACAATATTCTATGTGACTCTCAGTACGGTTTCCGTGCTAATTTCTCAACTCAGATGGCCCTTATTGACCTTGTTGACAAAATCAGCTCATCCATAGACAAATCCAATCACACCATAGGCTTGTTCTTAGACCTTTCTAAGGCCTTTGACACTATTAACCATGACATTTTACTTTCAAAACTTAACAGGTATGGTGTTAGGGGGAAGACCCTGGACTGGTTTAGAAATTATCTTTGTGACAGGAAACAGTTTGTTGAATGGAAAAATAATAAATCAACCCTTCAGTCAGTTACTTGTGGCGTACCACAAGGCTCAATCTTAGGTCCATTACTCTTCCTTATATATGTAAACGATATTTGTAACTCTTCGAAATTGTTATCTTTTATTTTATTTGCGGATGACACAACCGTTTTCCTTAGTCACTCTAATTTAAATGAGCTTGTTCTAATTATAAACAAAGAACTTAAGAATGTCTCCATGTGGTTTGAATGTAACAAATTGTCGGTAAATGAAAAGAAAACATGTTTTATGTTATTTTCAAAAAAGTACATTGATGTTGACATTAATATTTATATTAATAAATCTAAGATAAGCCAAGTAGATCATTTCAAATTTTTAGGTGTCATAATTGACTGTAACCTTTCATGGAAATTACAGTGCCAAAAGGTTCACACATCCATTTCCCAGTTATTAGGTGTACTACGTAAGCTTCGACATACACTACCTAGAAATGTCCACTTCTCTATTTATAATACACTTGCATTACCCCATCTTCAATATGGAATTCTAGCATGGGGAAATACCCATAGTACTTATTTGAATAAATTATTAATTGTACAGAAGAAGCTGATGAGAGTCATCACAAACTCCGATTTCAGAGAACACTCTGCGCCCCTTTTAGACAATATAAAACACTGAATATATTTGAACTGTACAAATACCATCTAGGAATCCTAATGTTTAAATTCGAAGGCAAACTACTACCTACAAATATCAGGTCCATGTTTGTGAGGAATCTAGATGTCCATTTACATAACACAAGATCAGCCAAAAAAATTCACATTGGCAAGGCTAGGACTGCATCATTCATGAAAACAGTTAGACACCAAGGCCCTCTTCTTTGGAATCAGCTTACACCTATACCCTTCTTTCGGACTGTTCATAAATTCAAAAGATATTAAAAAACCTACTAATTTCCGGTATTATATAAGACGTGCACCCATAATTCGCATTTGAACAAGTCACACTCCATTATAATCAAATGTTATATTGTAAATAAATACATGCATATTTCAATTTCCATCAGTTTTTCGACTATTAATTATGCAAAGTAAATAATTAATTAATTAATTTATTGACCACAGTTTTAAATTATATCTATAATTGTTGTTTATTTCATAAGTTATTCACTAACGGGACCAGGCTCTGTATAAGCTTAGGCTTTTTTCCTGGTTCCCCCATCTGTCACCACTTATGTTACATTGATCAAAGTGTTGTACATGTATTATTATTCTAGTAAGTTAAGTTATTGTTGTAGTAAATAATCTGTTGCATTTGCATTATATTAATTTGTGACAAATGGAAATAAAAAACAATACAATACAATACAATACAACATGGGGGTGCACACAAACATGCAGGGCTGAAAGAAGAATCACAAAAGGAGGATTAGGTGGGATAGGTGTGGAAAGATGCAGGGGAGGGTGGATGAGAGAACAAAGAAACAAAGGGAGATGGCAAACCACAAGGGGTCTGGTATAAACAGGGGAGGGACCAGAAAGGGGAAGGATCAAAGGTCACAGGGAGTGGGGACGGACAAAAGAGTGTGAGAGTGAAGGGGGATAATGCGGGGGGGGGGACAGTATGGAGGTGAAAAGGGATGAAAGATGGGGGAAGAAGGGTAAACACAAACAAGGAAGACCAGGTGGATTATCTGTAACAAAAGACAATGAAGGAAGAAAATGATTAATCATTTCCAAGTTGGATGTTGAGACCACGGTGGTTGAATAGTTCGAAGACGATTCATCCACACTTTCTCTTTGCTGAGGCGAACTGAGTCCTTGCGATGGCCAAGAGATTCAATGCCCTGCAAAAACATATCAGAAATGGAGTGGTTAGGCAGGTTGAAGTGATGACCAACAGGGGTGTCTAGTTTCTTGGTGTTGACCGTTGACCGGTGGGCATAGATCGAAACGCTTCTTGAGCGTATTCTTAGTCTCACCTCAGCTGCACTCCACAGACCCTGCAAGAAATGAGATATATGACATTAGAGGTGTTGCAAGTGATGTTACCAATGGACCTGTGGGTAGTGACAGAAGAGTGGCCAGAAAAGGAGTCAGACTCCTGGATATGAATCTGGCAGACAACACATCTGGAACTGCACTTGAAAGTACCATGCTGGGTGGGAGGGGATGCATCCAAGGATGGGACTTCAGCTCGAACAATCAAGTCCCGTAGATTTCGAGGACGCCTATAAGCCAATGTGGGGCCGTTGGGGATGGCGCGGGCAAGGCGATCTGAAGTATGGAGGATATGATGATTGTCATTAGTGATTTTGCGAAGGGGAGGGAGATTGGGGTGAAACGTGGTAACCAAGTTTGGCCATGGCATCAGAGGCCTTTCCCGTGAGAGCTAGATTTCTGGGGATAGCTTTAGCTCTGGCAATTATGGCACGATGAACTTGGCGAGAGCTGTGACCCCTGGCCACCAAGTTGTTCCTCAGTATCTGTGTATGGCGGGAGAAATCGGAATCATTAGAACAAATTCTTCTGAGTCTGAGTGC